GATGCCTTGTCTTCWGTACCACCTTCAACTGCGTCATTCTCTAARTGGACGCTCGCTGGTCTTAAACTAATGACTTCCGAGCCTCAGGGTACTTAAATATTGGCCTCTTCTGCATGTATCATCATGAAACTTTGATCTTATRGTAAATACAAAGAGGCATCAAGTTTATTAACAACGGTATTATGATTAATTCAAAAGTTTCARAAGTGGGGTGGTAAGATGTTCCCTCCGTTGGTTATTATCCCATACTCTTGACTCTAGAGAAACGGTACGAAAAGATAACAGCAGACAAAAAGTCTTGGGAACTTTTTTTAGAAAGACTATATTTACTGCGTGTTTGAATACGTGATTCGGTTGTGGTTAACCCATGTTAACCCGTGATTCGAGCGATTTTAAAGCACATACGAATTAAATTCCTGCATTACATGTGAATATGGCCGATTGAGTACTTTTGAATACGACCACTTATTACACCTGAACACAACCACTTCATAACACGTGAATACGACYACTTCATTACTCGTGAATACGATCACCTCATTACTCGTGTGTACGACCACTTCATTTCTCGTGAATACGAACACTTGATCACACGTGAATAGTTCCTTTCACGAGCTCCCTTTCACTACAAGTAAATACGACCACTTCATTACTCGTGAATACGACCACTTCATTACTCGTGTGTACGACCACTTCATTATGCGTTAACCGTGGTTTCGCTGAAGCGATACTACTTGGAACGCTCCTTCAAGTTTCGTTTTTAATACATCGCCATTACAGGTGTGTGTACTGTCTACTATGACAAMCCMTTCTTTTTATGAAGACCTACAGCTAGATTACTAATCATAGTGTATGGCCTTAACCTGACTCTTTGCTTCAGCTGTCACAATAGAAATAAGTTACCTAAAATATATGCAGTTCATGCCTGAGCSGCGACAGTTGCTTATAATAAACTGTCAAATTTCAAAGGTGTACCAACAGGTACTATAGTTGGGCCTTTCAGCATTACCCTTCAATTTGAACCGTTGGTATTAAGTAAATAAAGTTATGGAAAACGACAAATACTTAGACAAGAAGCACTAGGTTAAAACATATTTTCAACTCTATGTGTTTTGTTCGAGTCACTTAAGGAAAACGGTAAAGACTTAGTACACTTGACGTAATGATGCCCTGAAGGCTGTTAAGTGCTGGTAGCGRCAAGCTCGAGCAAAACAAATGACGATCTTTACGACTTTAATTACAAAACTTAAAACAAATCATTATAAAACAAGTATCAGATTACTAATGACAATTCAAACGACTGAAAACAGTTCCTTAATTCCTGCTTGCGCCTTCATGAGTGCTTTTTTAATGCGCAAAGCGTCGTTATGATCCCATCAGGACTGGACAAGCTCCCGCAAACCTGAAAATGACAGCAATGATCCGAACTGAGGAGTACTGAAACGATAGAATTTCACGTAACGTCTTTTCAAGGCTATTTTTTCACTTTGATTTCTGAGAAGAACCGTTGACAAGAAAAAAAATCACAGTTGCGCACAGACGGGCAAACATCACTACRCTAATCTCGCTTGCTCATTAAAAAAGCTAGTATGAAAACTATCATGTMGCAACTAATTACTTCACTTCATAGAAAAAAATTAAAGTTTGTAATATTCCAAGGAAGTTCAGGCCAAAAATCATGTTGAAAACCTAAAATGGGATAAGTTGCATTGTGCGCTTCGTTGATGATCTTACGCATCATTAGGTATTCAAGCAAAAGGCTATTATACTCTCAACAGAATAGCGCTTACACCGGACGTTCTGAAATGCCAAATATTCAATTTCCTTCAAAAACATCGTATGATCATTCTAKAATCACAATTAATTGTATAACTGTAAGAAATTCTTTCTTTTAATGGGTTTGTAAGGTTTATATTTGATGTCTGTGTAGTGTATATGTGTTTTTTTAAGTCATTTGAGTAGTTGCTTTGAAATATCAAAAATATTTCTATTATTCAGTGGTTATTTTTACCATGATTTCTAAAATAATGGAAAAGCTTCATCCGTTTAACATTTAACTTCTTTTCGCGTGATTCAAGTTTGTCAACAGTGAGSMAKACAAGAAAAGCTAATTCGTTTTTTTTACACGCAAGAAAAACGTCATTTATCACGTGAAATATCACGTGTGTGGTTGATATATAATCGTTATTGTAAGCACATGTAGGATAGTTAACTCATAAATAGTTCTTTATAAGTTAAGTAAAATTGAAAAGCAGCTAAACTCGTTATTTAGAATGTGATAATTAATGAATCTAGTAGCTTGAACGTAGTGCCAATATATTAGATATAGTACATATACATCATTGAATACTAACCCATCATTAACATCATTATATCATTATTGTTGTTTTAATTGTTGTAATCAAAAATATTATCTGAGTGGCTCAAGAATTTTAACATCACTATCAATAAACAGATTTTAACTCCCGTTCAGTATAACTATTATATAACAGTTTTCCAAAAATATTGAAAAATTTGACATTATTATTTAAATATACATCGTAATATGCATGATGCTGATTTTTTTTATTAGCTGCGAGCTGATATTAATAAGAATTATTATCTGAATAGACTGCCGCGAAAAAACATAAGCTATTTCTACTTCAAAGAGGGATTTTAGCCATTTTTTAGTGTATAATACCCACAATGCATAGAGAGAGATATATATTATTGAAATTACAGTATTTTTGCAAAACGATGTATATATACAAACACTATAAGAGTTGTAGCCTTGAAATATATATTTCAGTTCGCCGGCATGTTTGGATAATTCCAGACGCGCAATGCCATAATCTGTCAAAAAGACTATAAAAAGGAATCTCATTACACGTCACTAGATCGTCAGCTAAAAGTGTTTTCGCTAGTTTYACGYAAAACTGTCCAAAACAGACTTGTTCCACTAGGGAAGGAATTCCGAAAATGCATCGAAAAAATAKATCAAATTTGTTACTTTATAAGCAAAATTTCAAAGAAAACCTATAATTCGTGTACGAGCCTCCCTAAATAATACAGATTATTGTATGGAAATGTGTTAATCTGTTAATAATTCTGGTTTGAGAATGACTTTGCATTTTTGCTTGATGATTGAAGCAATTAAAATGATTTACAGACTAAGTCTAAAKAATCATCAAAAACGAAAACAAAAACATTGTSTTTCTCTGTCAATTGTGGATAAGTCTATAATCGTTTTGCAAACAAATCGACTGGTATTTCACAATTCACATTTATATCTGAAAAAAATCTTAAAAACCTTACAATATTTGCAGACGAATTAATCATTAAACTACGAAAACAAAAACACTATGATTCCCTCAATTTGTGAATTGGTTTGTGCATTGCTTCAGCTGCCAATTGTGGATAAGTCCCTAATCGTTTTGTAAACAAATTCTCTGGTATTTTATAAATCACATTTATGTCTAAAAAAAATCTTAWAAATTTCCCCTATATATTTTGAATTTTGCTTTGAAATCACAGATTCATTCACATCGACAAAAACTGATAAAATTATCGAATTACATTTTGTATTTCAGCATTTTCAATGTAATTATTCAATTCTAGGTAAAGTTAATTTGTCAATTTGGCAACGTAATTTCGAGAAAAAACAACAACATATCTTTCATTGAATCAAACCGGTTTCATCACTCTCCCCTGGATGGTAAGGTTTTGTCATATTTACAAAGATAGATTAGTATAAAGAGAAGGCATAAGCAAAAATCGATTATCAAGTTAAATAGATTTTTTTGTTAAGATATTATGGAACAAACATCACGGTTTTTTCCAAAACTTGCCTTTGAGCTCATTGCTACCGCTGTGGACTTGWCAAAAACATTTTCTCGCTATAGCCCCTAAGGGGCACTTGTCGTTGCGAAACATGAGCACAAGAGCCATGTCGATTTTCCATGGAGCCATATTGATTGTTTTTATTATTCTAGTACTGGCGGCCTTGCTTTCCATTTTAGTCCGATTCGTCTTTCAACCAATATCCATGTTTAATTTGTCTATTTTTTTGAATAATCACTGAAAACAGATTATCAGAAAGAAGCAAAATGCAGTCAAARGAAACCGGTGAATAAAAGTTAATTTTTTTCCAGCGAAAAGGATTAACTTAAGAAAAGAGYTAAAAATCCAATAATTCTAGCACTCTTAAATAAAAAGATATTGATTGTGGCATKTTCAGTTTGTAGATAATAAAAAACAATATCCTAAAATTCATAACGTTCAATGWCAACATTCTAATATCATTGCAGTGTAGATCATGGTAGATTCATATATATATCAAAATATTCTTCATTTTATCTTCTCGCATTTTGTCAATATTTAAGGGGAATCCAGCCCTTAAAATGAACTCAAACAATATAAAAACGAGTGAAAATAAATGCGAATTGATTGAGGTCTTATTACTGTATGTTATGGCGATTTTTTGAACTTGTATGCCATATCKTGGTCAGCGATATTGTAACGAGTCTAGCTGTCGGAGCATCTTTTGTCAATTTTAAGGAGGTTCCAACCTCAAAAATCAAGGCATAYAATGAAAGAAGACATTGATATAAAAAATAGATATATATTTGGTCTGGTGATTCATTATTTCTTTTCCTCCTCTAGCGTTCAAATATTGTTCAATAAATATTAAATTCTAGTATCAACTATTGGGAGTGTTATTACTTGTCGAGAATTAAGGGGGGGGGGGGGGCAAAGCTGAAAATCAAGGTCATCAAAAATTTACTAAATAAGTTCAGAAATTGATTTATGATCTCGAATGGCTTAATTGAAATGTGAACTTYTGTTTTTTTCGTGTATGAAAGGATTCACGGTGTTTGGGTCTGTAGTTTAGAGTGGGCGTCAGTTGCTAAGCTCGTCATTTCTAGAGCCTGTGACAACCAAGTCAACCAGAACATCCACAGTACGCATTCATGTTTGTCAAATATATCTTTTATTAAGAACAATTCATAGTTGCTTTTTTCATATAAATTTGTCAAAATCTGATATTCTTCCAATATATATTACAAGACTATCTAGAATTTATGGAAGATATATATATAATAGATATATACAAAATAGCATCAATATTCCTAAAAGTCAAAAACCTTGACTACAAATATGACGAAAATGTTGACGTCAAACGAGCTAACACTCGACATTAATTACAAATGTGATTCCAAGCAATTYAGTCGTCTTTTTGTGTGGCTAAAAACGAAACAATATATTTAATTTGAAAAATTTATCGTTAGACAAATGAGAAGAAAAGAAAATTGCTCATGACAGACGATCGAAACATAAACTCMTAAGTACTGCGTGTACAGTTCAATAAATACTACAAAAACTGTCAAACTTTTCAATCAACTTCTACCGTAAGTGAAACGAATTKATGGAATTGTGATGCGGGGACTGATTAGCCCTCAAGTGAGTTAAAAATTCTGCCATGTCCTTATTTCCTTGCTGAACAGCCACCCCGAGCGGCGAAAGCCCGTCRTCGTTCTTACTTCTCATGTTTGCGCCACTTCTAAGTAAGTAAGCGACGCATGTTTTGTGTCCGCCACAAACTGCAGCATGTAAAGGCGTCCAGCCTTCTCTGTCTTTAATGTCCACTGAAGCACCGCACTGAACCAAAACCTCAACACAACGGCTTTTTCCTTCGTAAGCGGCTTCGTGTAGCGCCGTCACTCCGCTTGCGTTGAGCCTGTTCGCATTCACTCTTCCCGACAGGATAATGTTTTTAAGTGAATACGGATCGTTTGCCGACACGGCGGAATATATAGCGTAAGATGGGTGAAGAAAGCCCTGCGATTGTTCATATCGAAGCTCAAGTGGATCTAAAACAAGATCATCTTCAAAACGAACCTCCTCGACGACTATTTTAGGAATAACAAGTTCCTTCTTTAAAGTCTTTTGCACATCATTGTTGTTTCTGTCTTGAGCTCTCTCCGCGCACATCGATGGAGGGAGAATGTAGTTACTTTTGCTGGTATTCTTCATGTCATGTAAGCGAGAAAGCTTCTTCTTTGGGAAGAAAGAATTCTTTTTCGAAGTTATTGCGGAGAAAAAGCCATTTTCAGGTAATTCCTGAATGGAAGATAATATTTGTATGCTCGCCATGGGACGCATCTGGAGGATTCTGGAACCACACCGATTTAAATTTCGTGGTTTTGTACTAAGTTGCTGGGATAAATAACCAGAGCTCTTTACTGTGTGACATTCGGTGGGAAATAGTCTGAAATCTTTGTCGCGGCAGGTGTAATATAAGCGTAAGTGATCCGAAAATAGAAAGCAGATTTCCATGGCGCGGTTTCCTCTGACGTCATTGAATATATTATTCGTTCTTTTCTCTTCAATATGCCATTTTTAGAAACAATGACTACATCCGCTGTATTCCCCACACATAACATGTTCCTCTAAACGTCTATTCTAGATAAACTTTATATAGAATATTCTTGGCAGATAACTGTTCAATTTGCCGTCTTAAAAAATTCCAACAGCTGATAGTATATAATGATCCGTTTTCACCAGAGAAGAATATCAGCAATAYGCATGATAATAGTCTTAGTTTTCATTCATTTCCATATTTTTTATTACAAATTTGAAACCAACCAACGTATTCACGCTTGAGAACGAAATTTACAATGTTTTGGTATAGTATACTTTAATCTTGGCTTGTTGAGAACACAACATCAATTTTCCACTAATCGAAACGTTTTATTTGCATATTCGGTGTAAAATTTCTGACGCCCAATACACACCCTTTCTGTGTCTTAAATACGAGARATATCAATAATATATTGTGCGTATCATCACTCCTTGATTGAAAAAGGGTTTTTTAACTGAGGAAGCATTTCGTTCAGGAAGTTACTCCATCTCATTTACATAACATATTCACTTGGTGTCGCGCGAAAAAACTATATTTCCACTTTAAATCCTTATTTTAAACCTTTATAATGCAAAAAGTATGCCAATTTTCACACATCTAAGTCGAAATTCATTACTCCAACTAAAAATCGTTTCCGACTTTAATAAACAGCGATGTGCTCATTCTGGTCAGTGTTTTTGTATTTCAGRTATGTTTTCAAAAAGACGGGATCTTCCAATTGGTTCGAAAGAGGTTTTTTTAATATAATTTAGCAATCCCCTGCGTCGCTTTAAAGATTGTTTTGAAAAAAAAATCAATTGTTTAAATACACTATACATATTGCTTCCGTAATGTATTCCAAAAATATTCCTTTTTAGAGTCGAGAGCAATTTCAAGCGATATGATATTCAGAAGCTTYGAACTGCTATCTCTAAAAATAAACCCTCCCACGGGCAAGATTAAATAAGAATAACAAWTCAAATGTGCCGCCGTGCAAAAAGTCATCCTTTAGAGAACTGGAATTGTCTTACTGTAAAAAAAAACAATTCCTAAACGATTTTTGACGATTACAAATACTCAATCCGAGTATTCATAAATATACGCCCTTAAATTGAACCATTTAACTCTAAAAACTTGAAAAAGGTACTTTTTATCCCAGAAGAGAAATTTCCACCGAAGGATATTGTTGATTGTACACCAGTTAATAAACATTTATAATCGTGTAGTTTTACACTCAAAATGTTTACATTGTGCACATATTATAAGCTATTTATATCATGCAACATAAATATAGCAACACGTACCATTATTGAACATCCTGATCAATTTCCTCACATATCGATAAGTTAAAAATATCTSTATCGAGATACATCTCATGAAACTACTTAAAAATGAGAAAAAAACCTCTAATAACTGAAAAATTAAACAATTAGTCTATGCTAATAATACCAAGTTGTAGCCATACTTATATATGCGAGAGCAATTTTCTCCGCTGTGCAGGGGGATTTTCCTTTCTTTCAAGCTGTGGAAAAGCTCTCCGTTGGCAATTCGGTAAAGAGATTGTTTTTGCTAACCAAAACGAGTTACTTTTTTATTCTTTAACTGAATCTTTGTTTTCTTTCTCTTTAGAAAACAGATGTATTTTTAGCCCAGTATTCTATTCAATATTGGGTGGGAAAAGATAAAAAATTGGGAATTTCATAAAATGATTGATGCATTTGAAAAAAACTCAAGGTTTTGCGCTAGTAATAGATTCTGAGAGCCATCATTYAATTTCGTTCCACTCTCAAGAAAAAAGATCTATCTACTGTAATGAGTCGTTCCACTGGTCAAATTCAAAATAGTGGGCGAAAAAAGTGGCACTTTAAGCGCGTTTTTATCTCTTCTACTACTGAAAAAGATGTGTGCCCGCTTTGGCACGTTCTTGTTAAGTTATAGTTTCCTGAAGGAGTGCGTCAACGTAATTTAAATATCATATTGATTTTCTTGAACACGTTTTGTAAAACTAGTAGACTTGAATTTGACTCGCAAATGGCAAAAAATGGTTTTTTGACAACATTTGCCCAGCTCTTGCACATTACTAAGACAAAAGCGTTTTCCCTTTCTTTTCGTTGCACAATATTCATAATATACGCCAGTCAACGTTTCTTCAGACGGATAACCATCTTTTATTTTACAAATTCATTTGATTACCAAGACTGAATTGTCATTTTTCTGTCGTAACATTTTTTTTAAGCCAAGCTGTTCACCTATTTTTAATGTTTAATATACAGGAAAAGTAAGCCTTTAGCACCTGCCTTCTCTAATAAACCTAATATACCAAGACTAAACCGTATTTTCTCAGRAAAATTTGTGCTAAAATCAGACTAAAAATCACAACAAAGTGTTTATCCTTTCGGGAAATATAATTAACAACGTTTCCATGTTCCTTGAGGTAAAATTGTCACTTCAATAAGAAACCTAGAAACACCGCGCTCATTATTCATAAATTGAATTTCAAAAATTCAATTCTTATCTTTCGGTGATGTGAAATGGATAAACAAATGATTAAAACAAAATAAATTGTCCWTATTTTTTTGATTKCGAATAAGATGTGCACACTTTCATATATGACTGYATCTATTTGACTTTCAATTCAATTTCCCAAAAACATATAAAACAGAATTAGACGCTTCCTTGTTTGTGACTTTAGGCAAAGAAAATCCCGTTTGCCGGCTTCGCTGTCAATTAGCGAAAACATCAACAACAAACTAAAATATCTCAGAATAATGTAGCAAGCAAATCTAATGTAAATACAGACAATATCGCAATAAAACTCTTAAGGTTGAGCTAGGGGCTTGACGGGGAGACGCATCCGCGAGGCTCAGTCATAACAAACTATTATTGGTTGAGAGACATGATAAAGAATTAGTCTTTTTTGATTCGTCGAATAAAATAAATAAACTGATGATCATGATGACRCCGATGATTCTGTAGTTCGTTAGTGATTTTTTTTTTCTTTTTTCGAGCAGGCTCTCGCCTTTGGRATTCCTTGCTATCGTAGAGTTAACGGATATTTCCGCTATCATAGCCATGGCTCCCGCCAAAATCCGGAAAATCAACTTGATTGTCAAATTGAATTTCGGCCTTGGGGAGGTCTTCCACGCGCGATGGTGAGTTTTATCGACAAACAAAAACAATGAAACATAACGTTTTTATGGCGCCTATGAAAACATAATGACACCTGACTTCTCTCGAAAGCAAAAACAAGGTGGTGTACACTTTGTTTGTCCTCTCTGCTGGGGTTACAACAACAACAAAAAACAACAAAAAACAATAAAAAGAAAAATAACAACAGCAAAAGCAATTAATACTTAGTACATTACAGTACTTACCCGCCGCTTATAAGAACCTGCAATTTAAGAACCTGTTAGCCTAAAAATATCAAAATAGACCCATTTTACACAAGAACCTATTTAGCCTAAACTTGAAACACACAGGTTCTTATAGATAGCTTCTTATAGAAATTAACCTAAAGAATTCTTAATGGGAAAAAACAACATATGTCAAACTGCATGTAGTGAACTTGAACATGAACTTCTAAATTTGGTATAAATAATATTTGAAAGTCTCGTAAATTCTCATTATAAAAGGGATGAATAAGAACCTGGGTAGCCTAAAAATTCCACTAAGCACCACTTAAATAAGAACCAGTTTAGGCTAAATTTGAAAAAATGGGTTCTTATAGGCGGGTAAGTACTGTAACAATACCACTAGCAATAGCAATTATAGCAATAGCAATAACAACAATTGTAGCAATAGCAACAGCAACTGAAATATAGCAATAGCAATGAATACCACTAGCAATAGCAATTACAGCAACAGCAATAACAACAATTGCAGCAATAGCAACAGCAACTGCAATATTGCAATAACAATAACAATACCACTACCACTAGCAATTGAAATATCAATGACATTGACATTATAAATGGAAACTTTATTTGCATAAATGCATACAGTTGAAATGATAATAATAATAATTATTATAGCAAAAGCAAAACGATAACTATGATAATGATTATGAGTATAATGATAATGATTATAATAATAATCATGATGATGATCGATGATGATAATGATGATAACTTTATTTTATATAGCGCTATAAATCCTTACATCGCAATGGCGCATTACAATATGTTGAAGAAAAAACTATTTACTATAATTAAAGTATTCAATTCACTTACTATTAAAAAAAGGAACGCAAATAGCTGAAAAAAACATTATTAATTGGAACTGAAAGCAATTTTTAAGACTAGTCATCGTTATCATGGTAAAAAAATACTACGAAAAATCAAAAACACTCAGACTCGTGACTAAAACGGCACATGTATTCCTATCTCGTTATGACATGGACACGTTTTTGCTTTGTTTACCTGGGGTTTTCTACAATTTGAAGGCCGTCAACTCGCCGCGTCACAATCTAAAAAGATGGATGACTTAGATTCACGTTTACGACAAGAGCCAAATGCCACATTGACTTTTAAGGCTTTGTTTTACTAAAAATTTCAAAGAAAACGTCAAAAAAGCTTTGAAAAGAATAGTGATCTGAAAAAACACTGATCGRATTTATAAGCAATCGCAAAAGAACGGATCGTTAGTACAAAAAAACAGCAATCACGTGATCAGGGGTTTTGACGGTTGGCGCTCAAAATCAACATGAATCTTCTCACGCGCACGAACCAAAGCCAGCACATGTTTTCCTTAAAATTCKCGTGTTTGTGTAGACTTATCTTGATAATCGCTACTATATAATGCAATCAATTCATTAGGACTTTTGTCGTTTTTGCCTGAGGTGGTCTACAAACCAGAGACTTCTGAAAATAACGAGGA